ATGAAATTCAAGCCTCCGAGGTCCACGATCTCTTGACAAAACTCATTCCGGACAGAAAGACGCGAGAGGGTTGCACACAGCTCAGTGAGAACACTGGAGTCCTCTGGGAATGCTGCAGAGGGAGAGAGATAAGCCAGGGAAATAAACAGGGGACAAGAGACAGGGTTGGCAGGGTCAGGGAGTATCACATGCCTTTTAGAAAAAGGATTAAGCAGGATTCTTCAGTGGGTTTCAGTCCAGATGTGAAGGGGCAAGCACTCACATTCCAGGGTTCCCCACGCCCCAACACTGGCTGGCACCCATCTCTAGAGAGACTGTGGGTTGAATAAGCCATGGAGCCTGAATGCACCTTTTACTCAGTGAAGGCCAAGCCTGAGACATGTTGTCTGGACCAACACGCAGGATAAACCTGAACAGCCATCCTGAGCTGAACTGCTGCTCTCCAACCAGGCAAGCTGCCAGCTCTGGAAACAGACATCCCAGAGAGGTGATGAGGTTTGCTGAAAGTCTTGCATGGTCACCAGGGAACAGAAGCTAGGACTCCTGATTTAGTCCCCTGCTGTGCCAATTGCCCCAGCACAAAACAGGAACATCTGGAATTAAGCAGCACGTTCTTGAGCTAAGGGAGCAAGGAAGAGCTGAAAAGGGTTGGCAGCAGAGGAATTACTCCTACCTTTGGCAGCCTGTATGAGGATCTTTAAGCCATCGTTCTCTGCCACAATCATCCTGGCATGATCATGGGCATGGCCAAAGGGCACACGGATGTCATCATCAAAGGTCATGATCCGCAGCGCCGAGCAAGCCTCTCGCACCAGGCTGGCGTGGTTACCATGCTGGACAATAGCACTGGTCAGCAGTGGCAGGAGGCCACCTTTCACCAGGTCCTGGCGGTTCTGCTCATGTTTCAGACAGGCATGTCGGACACATCGAATTCCCGCAAGCATCATTTCAACGTCATCTGCTTTTTCCTTCAGGGTTTGCAGCAGCATCTTCTGGCCAGCAGAGTCAAGCAGGTCAGGCTGCCCCTCCATGAGAGCAGACAGAGCCTGGAGGGCCTGGAGCATAGTGCTTTCATCTCCCGAAGCAAGCCTACAGGCAGAGAGCACCACAGGATAGGCGCCTTTCTGCCCAGCCAGGTAGCGAGAAGCCAGCTGCATTTTGCACTGCTTGCTCAAGCTTGCCAGGTGCTCACCAGCTACACCGAGTTCAGAGTCAGCTATGGATTTCCTGAGGGAATCTAATGTCTAAAGGAGGAGAATAAGGGTTACTGTCCTCCTAGATCACATGGGAAAAATGACCCACTGCACAATCAGATTTGCTTCTTTCCAACCATCTTCTCCCTCCCCTTTTAAATTCAAAATGAATCGGCAACAAAGAACACCAGCCAGCCATGGAGAGTGATGTTCTGTCTTTGTGCACAGAATGGAGTCAGAGGCAGAACAGGCTTCCCTGCCAACATGTCCCACTCAGCCCTCTGTCCCTGTGGAAGCACCTGATCTAAAGATGGCTTTTGTGTCATGTACCAGCACACGCATTAGACTCAGACTGAGGCATGTGTCAACTGATACTCTCTGCTAACCCGGGCTGGACTGGGAGGGAGGAGTGGAGATGAAAGGCTCCACAACATGTCACCAATCCTCACAACAGCCACTGACCATAGTGGCAGAGCTCATTAAAGCAGGCTCCCCTTCTTTGCAGCCAGAGAAGAGGCTGCTTGGAGGCTATTCACAGCACTCCCTGCTGCTGCCAGCCAGGATAGTACTCTGCACTTATGTTGCCCCCACACTTTGAGTTGCTCCAGGAGCTGACTCAGCACAGGCACCCCCTCATTTGGCAGGTAAGGAAGCTAGAAGTGCAGAGGGATAAGCCTGCTCTTGGGAGGCATCAGCAGAACTAGAAGGGGAGGCAAACCTGCTGATTCCTGGCACCGTATTCAAAGCACTGAATCATGCTGCTGACCCTGGGGGGCAACACTCACTTCGTTTTTTCCTACCTGCAAAATCTCGTGCTTTTGCTCCTCACCGTTTTCAGAGGCAGGTCTCGGTGCAGCTTTTACAATGGTACTCAGATCAACACCTAAAAGGGAAGAATGAAACAAGGTGGCTTTAGATGCATTAACTCTGGCTGCACTGGGGAACAGCAAAACATGGAGACAGACTAAAACAGAGCACAGATCAATGACTTAGGATGTCCCCCTACCCTCTGGAAGGGAGAGGAAGCCAAGAGAGTACCTTTGTTAAAAACCTGGTCACCTCTGGTTAAGTCTAACCTGAGAAAAGTTAGTGCTGCCTCTCTAAATCCCCCTTTGAAATGCCAGTTAAGGAAGGTTTTTCTATCCTGGCCCCTTTGTAAAACCCTGATGTTTATTGTAGATCAGTGATGCTGAAGGTAGAGCCCGTGGGACCTGGCCCCACACTCTGGATCCAGCCCATGGACTGGCTGTGCCCCACTTATCCAGCCTGCATCCGGAAAGGCTGAGAGCCATTGCTGGAACAGATTCTGCATATCAATATGGGTCTTTGATCTATACAAGCCAATTCCTCTGAAGAGCTCTGGGCTCTTTCAGACTGAAAGGAACTCACAAAGGACAGAAAAATGCTGTCCATTTTTGTCAGTCAGTCTCCAGCCAGAAGTACAGCTAAATACACGTCCAGGGATTCTTCAGCACCTCTAACTGGCCTCTGCTGAGAAGTAAGCTGACATGTCTGAAGGGTACCCAAAAGCTCAGCACAGACCCCCAGTTTGCAACATGACTAAACCATTCATACAAGTCTGTCTTACCCAACAGCTGCAGAGCAAAATTCATTTGCAGTACCTTGAGATTCAAACTGCTCCACAGCTTCTCTCACAGCTTCTTCTGGATCCATGTCAAATTCTGTGATGTTTTCTTGCACCACTTCATCAAATGTTTCCTGTGTAACTCGTTTGGAGGCCATTTTTATTGTTAAAAGAGAGCTGAACAACTTCCTGACCTGCCATCGGGAAAGACCAAAATTAGATTTGTTCCAAAATGATCTAAAGCTTTGAGAACTAACAAGAAACCAGGTAACCAGCTGTTTGCCAGAATGAAAGCCCAGGACATGAGCATGGCTAAAGATAAAAGAGTAGAAACTATCCCCCATAGATGAGTCACCAAGTTACAGAAGCTCTGTCATCTCTCGCTGCTGCAGAATAGTTGTCACACCAATAAATGCAATGAACACAAAGCCGTTTTTAGGTCAACGCTGCTCCGTTTAAAGCAGAGAACTTACAGAAACCAAGGCAAGAGAAGTGACTTAATCAACACGAGACAGTTTCTGTATGCAGTGCCTGAAACGAAGAATCCAAGGGGCTGTCTATCTGTTTCTTTTAAGGATTCCAACATCGTCTCTGTAGTTTGCCACCTCATCAACTATATTTACTTCTAAATGTCATTCAGGGATTGAACCAGAGTCCAGCAAAAAACCGCAATAGAGAGCACTCCATTTAAGTGGATAGCATCAGGACTGGAAAACGATAAGCACTTAGTCCAAGCATGCACTAACAAACTCAATATAAACGACGTTCATTAAATACAAGGCTCCTTAGCTTGTTTCTCAGCGTGCCTTATACCTCTGATAGCAGCCTTGAATTCCACAGGACCCAATCAGTTCAGCTGCTTAAGAAGCCATGAAATCAATGGCTCCAAGTCAGCATCCCCCATTACGCACATTATGTAGGATTAGATAAGAGCAGAGCCTTTCTAGACTGGAGGCACCCTCGCGGAGATACAAGGCACCCTTAGGTAAATGCGAGACACCCCTTGGAAAAGTCCAAGCTTTTAGTTTTCACTCTTTCTTTTGATTATGGCAAAAAAAGGGAGCAGAATTTCTGTTGCCAAGAACTCGGGAAGCAGAACGCTTTTAACGCTCTGGATTGCTCTCTGGGTTCATTTTACAAGAAGGCAGAGCAGAGGTGCAGCTTTACAGCCTAGCTAAATAGGACAAGCCGTCACGAACCCATCAGAGGCTGAAGCAAACCTGGGTTCACGAAAGCTCGTGCTGTCTCGGTCGATCTTATTTAGCGAGTGTATAAGGGGGTGTCTCTGCCTGGCTGATAACCGACCGCGGTCTTGGGGCTCACCACCTCTCTCTTCCCGGTGAATCACGTTTGCAGCACCCCAGCAGGGTAGAGAAGGGGGCGCCGAGAGCCCCTGCCCCGGAGCAGCCTGTGTTTTAGGGTCGTTGGTCGTAGCCACGTTGGTCTAAGGACACGGGCAGACAAGGCACTTCAAGCAGATGTGAGATCTTTTATTACACCGGCTAAATTGTTGGAAAAATTGTTCTTTGCAAGCTTCCGGGCACAAGAAAAGACGGGTATTTGTGCCTGAAAGCTTGCAAAGAACGGTTCTCCCAGCAATTTAGTCGATCTAATCAAAGATCTCGCCTCTACGCAAAGAAGCGTGTCTGGAGCGGTCTATGCGTGCATCGGGGTCACACACGAGCAGAGAAAGCGGAACATGTTACATACATCACACAACTGCGAATCGCGTGATAGATGTAACACCGGCCGCACGTGCGGGGTAACTATCACGCTAGAAATACACCCTCCCAGGTATAAAAAGAGCCAAGCAGCTGGGCCCAGGCGCAGGCAGCTCCGGCCGGCATGGGCAGGGAGGTGACAGCCCCTGGCGCGGCCGCACCCCGCCTGACCTTTGCCCTTCACGGCTCGCCGTAGCTGCGGGCGCTCCGTCCCAGGCGACGAGGAGTGAGAGGCGCTGCGAAAAGGCGGTGGCTGCAGGCTGGCTGACCCCCCTCAGCCGCCATACGCGCTCCCCAGACGCCTAGTGCGCTTGCGCGTCAGCCGGCCCCGCCTGAGAGAGGTCGCGGCCGCTCAGGCACAGCACGAAAAAGAGCCCACGCGGCGGCGCGAGCGCTTGCGCACTAGCCACGCATGCGCACTGTAAAGCTGGCTCTACCCAGTGCGCAGGCACCACCTGCGCAATTGTCTCTGGGGAGCCCAGTGACTCCTTGTAGAGCTCCCAGGACTTGGTGTGGCCGCTACGCATGCGCCGCGGGCGGCGTCGCGCGGGGGGTTGTGGGAGCTTCCGGCGTGGCTGAGAAGCGGCGGGTGTGGGGCTAGGGGACTTCCGGCCCGGCTGAGGTGAGGGCCGGGCGGGCAGGCAGGGCCCCTGGTAGCGGCGGGGCTGGTGGCGGGGAGAGGAAGATCGTTGGGGGACGGGCACCATCGTCATCCTCATCTTTATCCCCTCCCCTTTCTCTGCACCTCGTGGGGAGCCACCTCAGCCCACCCCCCAGAGACAGGGACCTGGGGGGGCGGGGAGCAGCAGGTGCAGTGGAGCGAGGGGCGCCCCTGCCTTCCCTGGAGGCTAAAAGTTACATTTCCCTGTAACGTCACCCACACGCTGGGGCTCGCTGCGTGGCCACCTGGCACCTGGACTCTCGCGTCGCAGAGCGAGAACGCGCCGGGAAGGTCGCTCTGCCCCTCGTTCGATTGTAAACCAAAAGCCGTTCCCCTAACGGAGACCCCTCTGGCGCGAGAGCGTGCGCATTGCCCTAAACACCCCCTCTCAGCAGAGGCCATTCGCGCCTGCTCGTAAGGATCGAATCTAGCGGCAGCTCTAAAATGCGTTCAGGTCAGCGATTGTGCCCCTCTCATTGCAGGGTATAAATGGCCTCCAGAAGAATCACGCGGGAAGCTTTTGACGCCGTGGTGCAAGATAAAGTTAAAAGGTATCGGATGGACCGAAGCGACGCTATGGAGGAAACGGTCCATCGGTTTAAAGGTAATGTCACGAGCAAGTCCTGAGTGTGACTTGCCGCTCGCTGGGTTATGCCGGGGGCTGTGGGGGAAAAAAAGTGTTGAATTTTTCGATAGCTGTGTGTCTAAAAACGTGCTGCTATGTGCTTCCTTCAGCGTAGTTTTACTCTGTCGGAAAGAGCAGGCGTATGCTACGATTGACAGCATCGCAAACAGCTTGTATCTGTTCAGCGACAGTCCTCAACGTTTTCAAAGTATTTTGATAAACGGAGACAATTTTTACATTTCGCAGCATTAGACATGGATGCTAATTCTCAATGTTGAGGAGTACAGGCTGCTCGGCTGTCTAAATGCATGAATTTGAATTTTTCGCGTCATATCCATGTGTTGCAAGTAACATTCATTTCTTCTGTCCATCCTGTCCCTTGCAGCTCATTCAAGACCTATCCCAAGACCCAGGTATGAAGACAGTTTCCATGACGACGGAAGATATTCACATGATGGTCCCCAACATCTTCCTCATGACGACTGGAGAGAAGATCCGAGGGAGGATTATCCGGGGCCTTCCTATAGATCTAATAGTCCTCTCATGAGGAAAGATGACTACTACCATGACCACTATGTCCGCCCGGCCTCTCGGGACCGGGATTATGTCCGCCCGGCCTCTCGGGACCGGGATTATGTCCGCCCGGCCTCTCGGGACCGGGACTATGACCATCCACATCCTTGGGAATCCTCAAGGCTCCATGATGCTGATTTTGGCCCTTCTGACCTCTTGGGCGATTTTAGATCTCCGGGACTCATGGAGGAGGAGTATGGGAACATGGAAAGTGAGGAATATGACCTGGAATATGGGCTTCAGTCTGAGGGTGAGTTCGGACCTCCAGTACGGAGAGGCAGTATCGGCAGAGGAAGGGTTCTGCGAGGAAAACATATTACAAGAGGCACTATTAAAACTAAAGTATTTAAAGGAGATGTCACAGCTCCTCTAAAGAAATGGAACACTAAAAAACCATCACCAGTAGCTGATCAAAAGTCAACTCTAGAACCTGATCAGATGCCAGAATCTACCGAACGACCTAACCAGAGGACTGCAGCTGCTCAGCAACCAACTCCACGACCTAATCAGAGGCTAGCCGTGTCAGCCCAGAGGCCTGTTCTCCGGCTTACTAAGCCTGCACATGTTTTCAGAGAACTGAACTTTGACCTTGTGGACAAGTCTGACATTTTTTCAACATTTGGAATAGAAATAATAAAATGGGCTGGATTTCACACAATAAAAAATGATGCAGAATTCTCGCGGCTCTTTAGAGCCCTCTTTAGGCTGGAGACGGAAACATGTGCAAAAATGCTTGCTTCTTTCAAGTGCCCGCTAAAGCCAGAACACAGGGATTACTGTTTCTTCACGATCAAGGGTTTACAACACACTGCACTGAAGACACCCAAAGTAGACAATGAGTTCTTAAACATGCTGTTGGACAAAGGTGCTGTGAAGACAAAGAACTGTTTCTTTGAAATAATAAAACCTTTCGATAAATATGTGATGAGACTCCAAGATCGTCTTCTAAAGTGCGTCACACCTCTGCTTATGGCCTGCAATGCCTATGAGCTAAGCATAAAGACAAGTGGTTTCAGTAATCTCACAGAAATGGCAAATGCTTTTGAGACCACCATTTCTCTGTGTCGTAAGTCTCTAGCACTTCTGGGCCAAACTTTTGCATTAGCTTCTGTTTTCAGGCAAGAGAAAATACTCGAGGCAGTTGGTCTCCAGGAGATGGCTCCAGCGCCAACTTCATTTCCAAATTTTGATGATTCAACATTGTTTGGAAGAGAGTACATAGAGAACTTGAAAGCTTGGCTTGAGAAAAGTGGGTATCCACTTCAGATGAAGAAAATAGAACCAGAGTCCACTATACAGCTTAAGGCAACTTCTCCTGACACAAAGGCTAAAAGTAAGAGCAAGTAAAGTGTCACAAAATGTGTGACAAAAGTGGGATGGTGGAGTCAAAGGCAGATACAGTAGCTGAATTTACTTCCAACTTTTTTTAATTTGACCAGTTTTACATTTTACTTGAAATGAGGTCTAACCATCAGTGCTTGCAATATCCTAGCATATACTTCTTGCCAATTTATTATTTAACCTTTTTATGGTTTTTCATCCAATTTTCAGATAAATTCCTGTTAATACCAACTTGAAATAATTTTATGATTCTGACATTTTTGGAGTTACATATTAAAATTTGAAACCAAAAAATGTAATTCCTAGGATAACAAGTCATTTATATATAGATATAGAGATATCTGTATCTATATACTGTTACTTATTACAGTTTACCTTGTGATTTCTCCTTACATTTCTTCCATTGTTTGACTAGGAATTGAAATTAGATTCACCAGCTTGTAATTGCCAGGATCGTATTCATTGTATTCATTTTGTAACATAACAACTGTACTTCCAACCCTCCACCATTTTAATTATTTCCCCTTATTACAACACTGTTGTAACACCATGGCAATTTAAAAGTAGCTGGCTTATTCTTGAAAAATTGTTATGAACTTGACTAGATATCTTGCCATCCTACTGATGATAATAATAATACTATGACCATACTTTATTTTTGTTACAGTCCCTCAGCGTGCTGATCGGAGAGTTGTAGAGACAATTGAGAAGTTAGTGAACAGTATTGTTTCGGGTACTTTATCTGCAAAAGAAAAAAATGCTCAAAAGAGCTCCCCTGACTATTGGTAGGTGTTTTGGTGAAGTTCATCCTAACTATGGTGTAAAACTACTGTGCTTCTCTTTTATGTTTGGTCCTACTCTAAGTGAAAGGGAGCTTTAACTTTGACCTTGTTGGATGCAGGATTAAATCTGTAATGTATTTCATCTCAATATCTGACAGCATTTACAAATGGTAATTGAGCCCCTTGACATACCTGGAAAGTAAGTGGTATCTTTCCTGAAGTTCTGATTTTTAGTCCTCTACTCTCTAGTAGACTAGACTGGATCTGTCAATCCAAATACAACATTTCAGTACAAATCCATGAGAAGTGCAACTTTAACAGATGTACTTGTGAATAATGTGTTTAATTCTTCACAAGCTGAGATGCTTGATTTCATAAGTATTGTGTAGTCTTAATATTTTTTTCAAGTAAAATTCATTTTGTACTGATGATGGGGGGGGGGTTTGTGAAATTTAAATTGTAGGTTATATTAAACTGAAAATGAAAAGTTACATAATGGTCTGTGAAAGCCTGCTGCTGGGTGCAGTGCTGTTATCTGACACTGATTTAATTTGGTTGACTTTTCACATGAATCGTTTATTTAAAAAAGAAAGAGACCTCACTTTCTTTCTGACTATCCTGTGCTGACTTTTCTTGGGGCAATTCCCTTTGTCCACACTCAGCCTCTTGGCTCCAGGCAGGGGCAGGTATACTACAATAAAGTTTTTAGTAAGCTTGTGGTTTAATTTACAGCTGGTTTGTAAAGACCTGAATTTAATCCTGATTTCAGTTCCAGGCAGGCAAAAATAATGTTCAGGAATTACTCCAACCAAGTCATTTTTAACATTGGCAGTTTGTAGGACATGCTTATCTATGACTTCTGTCATTATGGAAATAGTAAGTTAGGATTACTATAATTGAAAAGGTAAGCACCAAACTATGTGGACAATAATTGGTCCCCAGTTCTTGAATGTACCCAAACACCTTGTTAACTTTAAGCATATGAATAGTCTTATTGTCAGTGCAGTACTTGTCATATGTGAAAGCACCTTTCTAAATGAGGGCCTTAGTGTGTAGTCTGTTTATTAGCTAGTGTCCTGTACAAATAGTAAGTTGTCTCTTCATGCTGAAAAGAAGAGTTATATTTGGGTGGTAATTGGAACACAATACAGGTCACTTATTTTCCTGAGCAAAATTGTTTCAAATTAGACAACTTAAAATTCAAAGTGACAGCATCTCTTTGAAACGCAGTATAGCTGAATGATTGCTTGCTACTCCTGTTATATGAAGGCTGTTTAAGCTTTATTAGTGTGGCATAACTTCTTTTTGTCTACTTCTTAAGAAATTGAACTACCTCTTGTTCTAAGAAAGGCTCATACCTTCAGGCTTGTTTCGGGCATATGTTTCTCAATTTTATGGTCAGTTACCATGAAAAATCTAATGTGAGACATTGAGAGTACTAGTCTTGCTTTTGGCATGATTTTGTTACACATGCATTCATTTTTCTTTTCTGATGTAGGTTCTTGTCTGAAGAAAATAGTCTAGAATACAAATATTACAGACTGAAGTTATCAGAGATGCAGCGGTTGACTTCATCTACAAAGGGGGGAGATGGAGAGGGGAAAACACCAGAAGAATGTGCAACAGAATCAGTGAGGGCCATGTTGTATGCAAAGAAAGTAGCAAGTATTAAGAAAAGACTCTTTAAAAGGAAAAGACCTGGCATTATTGTACGGCGTGGAGTTCGAGGCAGGAAAGTAAGAAAAACAACCATAGGGACGCAGACCGTGCTGTCAGCTGGTACGATGCTAAAACGGCAAGACAAACATACCCAAGGCTCCACTCAGGCAAAGCCTTCTGTATCGGAAACCAGCCTTTCTGAGAGAAACTCATCCTTGGATGCAGCTGAATCTTCACGGTGTGCCACCACGCCAGAAGTTTCACTGCCACTGGGAGCAGTCGGTGACACTGAGAATTTATCAGCCTCACCTGGACATTCCCAGATACTGTTGTCTCAGTTCCCTGATGGTAGGTGAATATTTAAGATTAGTTTATAGATGCTAACTTACTATGAAGAAGGCTTGTATTCAGACTTCAAAAAATGTTCTGCCTGGAATTTTTATTTTAAGTATTGGCATTGACATAAAGCCTAGAGTCCTCAGCCATGTTGGGGCCACATTGTTTTAGGCATTGTACAAGCATGTAGAAAATGATCTTTTTGTCACTTGCAGTGGATGCTAGAACAATGGAAACTGCTGAGAAGTTTGCCAAGTTCGTTGCTCAGGTGGGACCAGAAATCGAGCAGTTCAGTATAGATAACAGTGCAGATAACCCAGATCTTTGGTGAGTAACATGGATCACCATCTATGCAAATGTAGGTATAAAGATGCCTTGTAAGAGAAATTACAGTGCAAATCTTTCCCCATAGAATTAGACCACCAAAGAGACTTTTGTTTATTGTTAGCATTAAGTTACACAGCTCTGCTGAATATAATTGTTTCGTGGTTGATGTTGCATATAAGTACGTCTAGGACTTCAGGATTTGGGCTTTAGGACCAGACCAGATAACTGATCCATCTTGTTGGTTTTGGTACTAATGTTCATGGTGAATATATGAAACTTTGGAGCAGGATAAAATCACTGCACAATTGTCCAGTCAGTGAAGGTGCGGTTTTGTTTCACACCTGTAAGTGCTCAGTTTGCATCTGAAGCAGTGTAAATATGGCCTGCTAAATAATTTCAGCTGCAAGTGGTCTGGGCAAATCTTGGGCAAGTTGCTTCTTTTCTCTTTGCCATCATTTCCCCATCTGGAAGAAGAAAAAAAGAGAGAGAGAGACTGGCTCCTTTTGTAAAGCATGTTGTGATTTACTGCTATAAAATACTGTATAAGCATTAAATATGATAATGTTATCTGGTGGGTAGAGGATTCCCACAGTATTTCATAGTAGTATAAAAATACCACTCGAATGAGAATGTTAACACTTTTAAGTAATGCTTTTAATATCTAATTTTATGTTAGTTTAAGGGAAGTCCCTCTCGGTTTTTTTAAATTACATTAAAAGTATTTAAATCTTTGTTCAGGTTCCTACAGGATCAAAACAGTTCTGCTTTCAGATTTTACCGAATGAAAGTCTATGAATTATGCCCATCTATCAACTTCAGTGCTGTATCAGAAACAACTGTACCTGGGGGAAGTGCTAAACCTGGAGGGAAAAATCTGGATAATTCAGAAGAGGAGGAGGAAGAGGAAGAAGATAATGAGGAGGAAGAAGAAGAAGCTGAACTTGAAGAGATCTCCCAACCATTGGAAAAAACTGGAGTGGAAATGGAGCAAACAGGAGAGGGAGAAGGAGAAAACATCTCAGCAGCTAGGACTGAAGAGATCCCGCCTGAAGAGTTGCTCTCCAAAACAGAAGTACCTCCAACAGGGGAAATGCAGCCAGCCTCAACTTCTGATAGCACTGCATCAAATCTGTCCGCACAGGCACCAGTTCCAACTCCTGGTACCCCTTTTCCTCGCAAAAGAATTAGCAGCAAGTCTCTGAAAGTTGGCATGATTCCTGCATCTAAAAGAGTGTGCCTCATTGAGGAACCAAAGGGTAAGTACCACTTCAAAGCTGTGTTGTGCCTCCTGGCCAGAAGTCCCTGAAATCCTATGGTTTTAGTTGCTGCTCCATGAAATGCTATGTTCATTTTCATCCAATGAATTATAAAATATTCATTTTAAATGCCCATTCAATTGTCATGGGCACCAATAAAGTGATAGACAGGTATTCCATTCTGGTGTAGTAATACAACTTGCTCCTAGCTTCATTGAGATAGTAGTACAAGTATTGTATACACAGGCTCACTCCATATATGTATCAGTTGCCTACAGGCCTTTCTCTTTGGTTTAAACAAAGTGCAGGAGAGCTCTTTTGGAGGGGGGTCACACACCTTTTTTCAGGTGGAGCACTGACTGAAATCTGACAGCAAACAGCCTTAAAAAGACTTAACAAGTCTGAATGTTCTATATCATAAAAATGTTAATCCAGAAGTATTTTGGTCTTGGTATTTTCTTCATATTTATTTGATAGTTTGTCAAGTAGTTGGCATCATGGCCACATTACAGGAAAATCAATCTAACAGTTCAGAAGCCTATACTGAAAATAGACTACTGTACTTTTAACAAGTGTTCTTTACATGCATAGATAAGAATAGTGCAGGAGCAAATGATTACGTGTATTATGGAAACAAGACACTATAAACTGGTTTCATCAAACAGTTATTGAAGTTGGTAGAGTTATGTGACACGTAGTTGTAAATTTTGATCCTCAGACTATATTCCTTTCATGGAGAACTTTCAAAGGCAAAAGGAGCAGTTTTGTCGCGGTTTACTCTGAAAGTGGATGAGAATTAGGCACCCACCTCCTATTTTGCCTTTTGAAAAGTTTCCTTTTCTTTCTTATGTACTTTAAATTCCTGAGTGGTAATGAAGTGAGGCATTACATGGAAGTTGTCACAGATAAGTATGTTGCAGGTTCTGTTACGATTATCTTTATGGTTGACCTTTTGTCTCTGATTTGACTTTTAGTTCATGAACCTGTCAGAATTGCTTATGACAGGCCTCGTGGTCGTCCTGTTACAAAGAAGAAGAAGGTGAGGGAACTTTTTGTTCACGACTCTGCACGCACAGTGTCTCTCTTTGGTGAAAACAGCTCTTTCACGGTTCCTGTAAGTGCATGCTATTGCTATTAAATTAGTTAGAACCTAAGGGCCTAATCATGCAAGGGATTGGATGTAATTTGGGAGGAGATAAGTGCTGTCAGCTGCCACCAGTGTCAAAGTTGAACACCTCGTGGGATCTGATGCCATATTGAAAAGTTGCTTGTTAATCTCTTTATTAAAAATGGAATCAAGTCTGCATATTCCACTAAATGATGGAAACTTTTTAACATGTAGCAGTGTACCATGTAAATCAGTGGTTCTCAAACCTTTTCTTTTTGCGGACCACTTGAAAATTGCTGAGGGTCTCGGCAGACCACTTTTTTTGGTTCTACAAATCAAAGCACACAACTCATATTTTAATATCAGTAGTCTTACCTTACAAGTACAGATATTCTCGACTCTGCAACCTTTCTGCAGACTATGGAGCTCGCGGACCACAGTTTGAGAACCTCTGATGTAAATCATTTTTATGAAATCTTGTATGGCTGAGGTGAAATTTCCTAATGGACCCAACAAATGCAGAGTTTTCACTATGAAAACGAGGGACAGTGATTTTTGACCAGATAACATTTTCACAAATTTGGGAGGCTGATGTAAGCATGCTGAAATGGCATTACATTTTGTAATAGAGATCCAGTTACTGACAACCCCCCCCCTTATTTTGTATTTGTTGGGAAACGCAACCACCTTTATGGTACAGAAGCAGGTGCTAACTACTGTTTTTGAGTGTCTGGTTAAACAAGTTGACAGATTCATTCATCCCGTATTAAATTGGCCACCTAAGCATTTTATCAGGCCTTTTCCCTGCAGATAAAGAAACACCACTTAAGAATGTACTTTAAAAATTATTTCTGTACTTTCAGGACCTTGGTAGATTCAGTTTGCAGGAGCTTCCTGCTGGAGAGTTCAAATTTGTGGCTACTTACTGTACCAGAAACTAGGATGTTTGCTGTTTTTCTCTCTGCAGAAACCAAAAGACTTAGAATTTTCACACAAGAAATTGACAAACAAGAATGTGGGTTTCCAGATGCTTCAGAAGATGGGCTGGCAAGAGGGACATGGTCTTGGTACACGAGGAAAAGGAATCAAAGAGCCTGTGAAAGTGTATGTAATGAGAATAAACTGCAGAAATATTAGATGCATGTGGAAAGTGCTGTGTTCCTAATAGCAATGTGGGTAACCTGATCCCCTCAGGACAGGCCAGTTCAGTATTTCATTTCCATTCCTGATCTTCTTTCTGCTCCCTAAGCTGATCAAAGCTGAGAGTGGAGGCCTCATGCCTCTACTAATCAGATTGGGTGGGACCTGGTGTTCTAAAGGGAGACTCTTTCCTTACCATCTGAATGGACATTGCTGAAGGCTGGGAGAAATAGTTTCCTGATGCCCGTTAGCCCGTGTAAACCCTGGAAGGCACCCTGGTGCATGTGGAAGCTTTGTAATTGTATAAGGGTGCACTTTGTTAGAAGAAAAAATACACATTGGGGTTTAACTTGCAAGCCTGCGTGTAGAGTTTTCATAAGTGCCTGGATATTACAGTGATAGGTACATTGCATATATAAATAGACTTCACAGGAGTTGTGCGCACACACAGTACTTCTGGGTTAAGGTAGCACACAATCTACACTAAACAAAAGATTCTTTCTCCTGCATCCTACAAAGAGGTAAGTGCATTGCCAGAAGGTAAGCATTTTGTTTTCTTGAAATGCATATTCTTGTTTTTAAATCTCAGTTCTGCATGTTAATATTTTTCTTCCCTCCAGTGTCCTCTACAGCCAACCCTGATGGTAACGGCTCCTTTCGCCTACGGATGTAAACAAAGGGCACAAAATATTTCTGATCTTGCTCCCTTACCCGTACAGAGAGCTCTCTGGCTGGCTGAAGTAGTGTGTGGGCTTACTGTTTTCTTTCTTGGGGGAAACTCGTCCCCTGTCCTTATCTTTGACAGAAATCATTTTTTTAATCGAGGCCTTTGGTCATGCCTGTTTTTCTAGAGCTTTCTGTTGTCTACCAGTATATAGGATCATGGGTTTGGGTGTCTAGAGGTCTTCTTCACTCCAAAACTTGGTGGAGCCAATAGCATTCATAGACCTTTGCTTTTAACAGCTCCTGAAACATCTCAGCATGCAGCCAGTAGTTGAGCATTTAATTTTGTCTGGCCAGTTTAGCAGTTAGCTTGCCAGATGCTAAAGGAGGTTTAGACCTTCTCAACAAGGAAATAAATTATTTTCTTTCTGTTTAATTTAATTTACCTGCTGTTGCCTACCTTAAATAATGGGAACACTAGATGTTCTGTTGACATCCACTGCTCTTTCCTTTCCCTCCAGACATGTACTTTGAACCCCAATTCAGATGGTCCTAATGAGAATGAAACCAATCTACAGTATGCAGTTTGTCTTTGAATGCATCTCTCTAATGGCCTTGATGGATGGATAGCTCAGGTTTTATTCACTTGGAGGGATCCATGTTCTTTGGTTTTTCTCCCTTTTGGAACTGCTAGCCCCTTGTCTGTCAAATACTAATTTGATTTGTAGTTAAAAGGCCCACAAGTTATCCAATACTCTCTTTTCAAAGAGAAGGGAGTGAAGTGGAGTGTGTTGGTTTGGAAGCAGTCCAACATCAAATTGAATAACTTTTGATCATTCTGATATAGCAGTAGTAGGGCTTGCCTCTGGGATTACTACACACAGGCCTGCCAGTCTTCATGTGATAATAAGGCAAAAGCTTGAAAACTTGCCATCCAATACAGAAAGATCAGAACTAGCCTTGGGAAGGCTGGGAGTAAAACTCACATTTCCTTCTGGATGTCTTCTTCCTTGTAGTCTTTTACACTTCCTCTGTGAAACATAATGCTTCTTTGTGGAGCTAAGGGCTCTAGAAGTTGTAGGGGAATATCCTACAGGTCTTGCATTTCTTTTTCTCTTCAGAGAATTAATCTGCTTCAGCTCTGAATTTGGCCAATTTTGAAGCTGAACTGAGGGCAAGGAAAATCTGAAGGGGAAAAGTTTTTATTAGACTCATTGAGTTATCATCCAGCTTTTCTAAAGAGCTGCTTAAGTTCTTACTCTGAATCATCCCAGAAGCAGGGGGGTCTGTATTGCAGGAAATACCATGAAGTCTTTTTGATTCACAAATTTAGGGACCAGTGGCTCACTCTACATCAGAAAATGAAGACTATGCCTGCTGTGAAGAAAAGAATTTACTGTAAAAAGTGAAACAGAAGAAGTGCGTTGGGCGACGATTACAGGAAGTTACATACTTGTTTGGTATTTGTTGGCATTGCAGGAGTGTCTTTGGGGAGGACTTTGGTATTGAGAAAATGGTGACTTAGTGCAAAGTAAAGCATACTTTGAGCACTGGCCTATCCCTGACAGGAAGCCACAGGGTTATTAGGTGGCTTTATGTTCTTCCTAAAGATGGTTTAACTTGGTCTTGCAGCCCCCAAGGCAGATTCTAATATTGCAGGCTTCACAAGGAAAACCCATCCTCCTGGGAACTGGGTTGCAGTCCTAAATGTGTTGTGGACTACAAAGATGAATTGGAGTCGGTGCTCAGGTATTCCAGAGCTGTACAGCCTCTACTGGGTTTATGTGGTGACCACGGGCTTTGAGAAGTTTAAATAGGGCTGGTTTCCTTATTGTTGCCACTCATGCTCTCGGAGCTTCCTTTGTGGCACAGCAATCCCAATTCCAACGCATCAGGCTCTGTGATTGCGTTCAGGATGAAACTTCTGCAGAGGGTCGTTCCTTTTGGCAGAGAAGCTTTCATAAACCTACGTTCTGGGACATGGATTTTTTTCTACCCATGTGGCCTAGAGAGGTGATCCTTTTAACCAGCTTAAATTCTCTTAGCTCATCCAGTCCAGCTCCATCCACAGTAAGAAGCTGATCTCAAATTGCCAAGGCCTCCCTCCTTCCGTTGGCTTGTCTGTAGAAAGAAATTAGGATTACTGACACTTCCTTCTTGAAGATGCACTCCAAAGTGTTGATAAGGAATAGGTCTCAGGAGGCGTCAGCTTGCTGGATGTTAGAAATTACCAGTAGACACTATGAAGGTCCTTCAATAAAGATTTGATCTGCACTACAGATTTGGGTAGTGTTTCCTGTACTTCAGTTCTAGCAGTCATCTAGATCAATAAGCAGCAAAGCAACCATGGGGTGTTGTGATCTGGAATAGGGACCTTGCATAACATGGAGCAGGTGATCAACTCTGAGGAGTTCATGCAAGAAACTGATTTACTAGATGACAGTCTTCAGCCAATTGTATCATAAGAGCTTTGCTTCTCATTGTTGAGTGCATGGGGGATTAATATAATATGCCAGACAAGCTGCATCATAAGGGACATTGACAACCTGAGTTAGGTTTTTATTTGAATCTTGTCTATATTGGAAGCTATTGTTGTTCTAGATCTTTTCTGCACTTTGTCAGATGCAAGTGAAACTGTGCTAACTATCCATTTTACTCCCTAGGGGTACTACCTCTGCAGGGGAGGGCTTGGGTGTTGCAGGGGAAGAAAATAAAGAAGACACATTTGATGTTTTCCGTCAAAGAATGATACAAATGTACAGGCAGAAAAGAGCGAGTAAATAGGTATGTGCAATAGACAAGTCCGGCAAGTATTAAAATACTGGGTTTTAAAAAAGCCTTCCTTTTGCCCGAAAATGAAAATGTTAATGTTTCCACAAATGTGTCTGGATTTATAACATTTCATGAAAATCCAGAGCTGCTTTGGACTGCTGAATTACCAACATCTTACATTCTAGGTTTGATATAAGCGGCTCACTTGCTAGAAAACGTGGATGTACAAAGGCTGCTGCGTGAAAGGTCTTCAGCACACGCTGACAATATGAAGAATGCTTTGTTCTGTAGTAGTGGACTGATATGCCAAAACGCTTTCCAAGAGTAAAATTAGTCTTGTACTTAAATGTGCAACCTAACAACTTGGGTGGCCTCTTTGAAGGAAGAAACAGTTGATCTGCACACAGAAAAACCTGTTTACCTTTTTCCTTGGCCAAGGATGCTTACTATGTGACAAAATGTCTTGCTCCAAAAGTTTTAAGCAAAATTAAAAACGTGAGCTAAGGAAGCAGTCTGGCCCTGTTCCTGTATGAGGCTGGGAAATTTCTCAATTCATATCTTCTTGAAAAGCAGCTTTCCACCATACCAGATGTTCAGTTTTACACTTTTTGAATGGTTAAATCTTTTGAGCTGCCTCTGTAGTCTGGATAAAGCAGATCTTGATTATTCTCCTCTCCACCCCACCCCCCTTTCTCCCCCATTTATAGAACAGTTTTTAAGAACAAAACCTTTAAGCATGCAGGTTTGTAGGAATCCATGCTTACATGTATCGGACTGATGTACTAAATCCGTGTGCAAGTGAAAACACTAAACTCTTGCCTAACAAATCTCAGCTGCTGGGACATTCACTGTGACAAACAAGCAGTACCTATTTTAAGTGTTCTTTTTGTTTTTATGTGAATTTTTAGTTGTTGCTCAAGGAAATCTTGCACAGTCTCTTTCCTGCTCAAAGAAATAAAGGCACAAACAAGGTGTTGTTCATGTTTGCAGAAAATACCATACTCTAAAATGTTGAAAGTCAAATGGTCAAGATCATCTGGAAGTGGAACATCTGTTTTGTAAAACCATCAGTTTAGGGAGTTGGTCTGCTTCTGCTTGTGTTGAAATGCTGATCTTCAGAAGTCCTCTTACTGAAAGACCCCCAGGAAATGTGAAGAAAACTTGACATTTTAAGGACTTTGTATTCCATTACTTCCTTTTATTATTATTTAAATCAAAGATGGTACTAAATTAGTAGTCTGCTCTAATAATAAACTATAGGATTGCATTGTAACTTCTTGATAGAGCAGTCCTTAAAAAATGGAAGACTTTACATCATGACTACAATAAGTGTTCATGGTCTAGTTGATCATTCATCCTTCTCCAGATTTGCATGTCAATAAATAATCCGTGACTAGATTACTTAAAGTGACAGAATTTAGTACTGTGCTTTTTAACTTGCACCTTTTTTCTCCATCATTTCATTTCTAAATCTAGTCAAGAGCCTTCACTTTTTTATTGTAATGGCAAAGACTACTTCACTGCAGTCCTCTTGAAAGAAAATGTATCTTGAGTGGATGCATGTTTCCCTAATGAGAAACGAGTGCAGTCTTATTGATGTTTTCATCTGGCATTGCTCTTCTTGTAATGCAAGAACCAGTGGTACAGTTAGTAAAATACCATACAGTAAAATAGCAGCACATTGTGTGCTAAAATACAGATAAATAAGAAAACTTAATCTGCAGTTACCAACTTGCATGTGCCTGCTGTGCCAAAGAGTCATCCTCCCTATCTCAAAAATGGGAAAAAATGCTGATTTGAAAGAGGGAATTCTTCACATTCATTTTGTAACGGCAAAAACCTTTCCTTTCCCCACAGAACTTTGCATTCATAAATTAACCAATTTATTTAGTTTATGAATGTAAGATTTTTCTTTGCTTTGTGTGTCTACGAAACTGGAAAGCTACAATATTGTGCCACAGCATAACATTCTGGTCAGTATTTTAATAGCTTTAAAGCATGCCAGCACTAGATAAATATAGACATTGTTACACCAAGAGTTATATTTTTCTGTGCTTTCCCACCTATACCTCTCAGGAGGTTGAAGCATCAAGACTGTAAATACAAATGTCTATTCAAAAAGTTGACTTTTTTCATCATACTTGATTTGATATTTGATGTTACAGAGATTTCCTTTAGGCTTGGAAATATTTATGATTTTAAACGTGTTGGACAGAGGCTGCCTTTCATTTCAGCTGGTTAGAGTATCTGACAACATTACGCTATTTGGATGTGTTCTCCACTGCTCCTTTTCCCTTGCCTGCGCTTAATTAGCCATAACATTTAACAAAAAAAACTTGAGTTTCTTAAAAAGCAGTTCTACCAGTCGTTGTCTATTTTTGGAAGACACTCTGGAACCAATGCGGTTGGCCCCGGAGTTATTTCTTAGACCCACTTGTTTGGGTTTCACTTTTCTTTTAGTTTCACCGATGAAGATGCCATTATTGCAGTATACGATTTAAATATTTTTTCCCCCCACATTATGCTTCCAGTTCTCTTCTTTCACATTTGCATTTTTGGAAGCACTCTCTGGACTATGTGCTGTGCCATTTATGGGAAGACAACTCAAAGCGTGGTTCCATTCTAGGTTGGGATCCACTTTCTCAGACCCTGATCAGCGTTCTGAGCTGTGATGATTATAGTACCATTTGGGGTACATTTGCTGAACACCTGCTTATCCAGTCTGGGGAAATTGTCAGCATCCAGATTGGAAAATAATACACGTTCCTTGTTGATTTCGACTCAATTTAGAGTATAATGCACTCTTGAAAATTATGTGAACAGTAGTTCTTGGGGTAAATCTTAATCTGCTGCCCTGCATAACTATAGTATGGTCAGTCTTTCTTGTGCCAAACTTTAATTTTGGACAAGATATCAGTAGAGCAGCACTGGTGCTAAGATTCCAGTGTTGCTCTCCAGTGGGTTTCTATGTCTCGCTTTGACCTTGTTTTATCAAGCGATGACCTTGCTCTCCTTTTGCAAAAGGAAATTCCCCTTTATTTTGACCTGCTTTTGCAGGCTTCCCCAATTTGAAAATTTAAGTACGTGTACATGTGAAACATTGTTATGCGGATACGTTGCCTTGTTAAAGTTTACTAGTTTATTCTCTGTTATTTTAGTTTCCAGGCTCTCTTCCATGAAGACTACAAGCATCAGTGAACATTTTAACTAACTTCAGTGGTGTGTCTGCTGTCTTTTGGTTGTTTTTACTGTTAATCTTGTAGAACAATTTGCTAGTTTTTGTTTGTGCAAATCAGCGGTAGTGCTAAGCTAGTAACAAGTGGATGCTTATGTCATTTGAATAACTGAAATTTCTTTTTAGTAGAAGTAAACATGTTAAGATTGTTAAACCTTTAATATCTGCAATAAATGTTAGAAATAAACCATTTCTGGTTTCGGTGATGTTTTTACTTCTGAACAGTTTGTGGGAGATGTGCATCACTACTTTGGCAATAACAAATCAAACTTGAATTATGCAGCGTACTACTGCGAAATAGGATTTTAGGGGGGCCAAGGGATGGATGCCCCTCTTTACTATTAAATTATCCCTTTGCAAGGCTATTCATTGGATTATTTCAGAGGTATTTACTCTTCCTAGGGTTGCAATGCATTCAGCAACAGCACATCAGCTCTACCTTTTGACTTGAATGCCAGTACCATTGTTTCTTAACCAGACTGAGTGCTGCTCTGGTCCCAGAAACTAGGAGCTAAAAGTTGCTTTTATTCTCCCAGGGCACTGAGCGGTTTCAGACAACACACACAATTATCTTCATATGCTCCGTGCATTAATGTAAGAGGGGCAAACCACAGAAAACTGAAGTATTTCTGCAGTGGGTTGCTGCACAAATCTTATCTGAGACGTAAAACTTATTCCCTGTATTTGATAAAAGATGAGAGCCAAGATCTAAGATCTTTCCCTTCCTCCCTTACTGGCAGCTCCTAGAACTTAGACACTAGCTGACACTGGGCCATATTTTTCCTTTCCTTCAAGAAGTGTACGCAAGGATCTTTGGGGGGGAAAAAACAAGCCTATTTGCTGCTCCTGGAAGACGCATCATGCAGGGAAACAGGTAGCATCTATTGTTTGAAAGGTGCAAGAGAATTGCACAGAAATAGATGTTGGACTAATAAATAAAGCCGTTCACGCTCTTGTGGTCCAATTTAGGTGCTGGTTACTTCTTTCCTATTTATTATAGATATCGACGTGCAAAAAAAAGTCTATAAATTGCTTAAATGCTTTGTCTAGACTGAGAATAGCAAGTTTCTCAGATTAAGCATCCGTTATCTTTATTGGAATAATATTCTGTTCTAGTACAGATGGAAGGCAGTTGCAGTACATTTTGTCCAAGCTAAGTCTGGATTCATGTGAACATTGAAACATTTCAATTTCCCAGTAATTTCTATTCCTGGAAAAATTCAGGAAGATTTTGTTCCGTCGTTCGTTCAGCGCATCTCACGACTGAGCGTGCCCGGCCCCCACCAAAATGGCAGGGTTGAACAGTGGTCACCTGAGAAGAGTACGATTAAGGACAGTGGAGTATTTTGGAAGTAAATGGATTTTGTGATCCTGGATTAGTAGGTAAAATGCTAAATTACAGGAGCTGAAGAAGATGTTTGTGTTCTTGGTATCTGAAGTCACTACTGCTTAAGAAAGCACTAACACGGAGTCTTCTTTAGAGCCTTTTGTGCCAAATGAATGTCTTTCAACAGTTTTGCTATTATCCATATATAATAGTTATCTAGAGGAAGTGTTTTTGCTTCCGAAAGGCTCACTGCTAAAGGGAAAACAGTATCTGCGCGCTGTCTTTTTGGACATTTAATAAACTAGATGTAAAAGGACACACAGAAGGCAAAGCATCTGTCACTTTGCCTATGTGTCTTTGGGGGGGAGCAAAAAAGAACCAGCATGAGCAGTAGCTCATTGTAAATAAGTCTTCTACAGGTGTGGTCAGCTAGCACACGGCATTTGAAGGACTTGCAGGACCTAGTTCAGAAATTGAGAGATTTCTCAATTTTTCCAAGGAAAGTAGGAAGAAGTATTTTTGAAAAGTTTCTTAAGTTTCACTGGGGTGGTGATGGAGTATGGTAGGACAGAAGATTCACCACTTTAGCTTTTGAAACCTTATCGTACTACCTAGTGAACAGCAAGAAAGAAAAGAGCAGAGTCCACGCTATCAGTCTGCAGCTTCCACCTAGTGCTCCTCGGCACGTCTAATGTGCCCGGGCAGTCGGAGGACACAACTCATTGTCATTCCTATGGCTCTTTACTATAAAAGTGTAAAGGATCTAAATATCAGGAAATTCGTGCAATTTGAGACAATGGGATACAATTAACAAGAAAACGGTTCAAAACATGACACCTTCCACAAAGCCGGGTGTGACCGGACCTATCTGACAAAGAGAAAAAACATCCTGTCTCAGAAGGCTTAAAGATAAAACACCAAAAGAACGAACTGCAGGTGGGGGCGAAAGGGTGCATTAAGCAAGATGAGCACCAGGTTTTGGTTCTTGCTGAGTCGATCTAATAAAAGAGACCAGATTTACCCAAAGATCCTTGTCTGCCTGTGTCCTTAGACCAACGCCCTGCCGTACAGCAGGGTTGGGGGGACGTTGCTAAGAGTCCCAAGAGACTTGCAAAAATCTAGACCTCTTGGTTCAGAGAGGATGCCTTTTATTCGACCAACTGAGACATTGCAAAAACTTTCTTCCTTTTTTTTCCTGCAAGCTTTTAGGCTCAGGGAAAGTTCACGATCGCATCGTGTAACATCTTGAGCTTTCCCTAAACCTGATGAAGGCGGAAAGCTTGCAGGAAAATATCATTTTTGGTGCAAGGTCTCAGTTGGTCTAATACCCGGTATCGCCTCTGAACCAAGAGCTCTAGATTTTTGCAAGACCAGGCTTGTTGTTGTAGGGAGCGGCCGGGCTTCGTGGGCAGGCGGCCTGTCCCTCTCGGGGCTCTGGAGCGGGGCAGCCGCGATGCGCTGCCCTCCCGGCTCAGCCTTGCCCCGGGCCGGAGGAGCGGGCCAGAGCTCCGCCGGGACCGCACGCAGCGCAGCGCAGCAAAGCGCCGCGCAGCTCCCGCCCGGCCCGGC